GTAAGAACCTAAATTGTGCCATCGGCCAATAAACTGTACCCCAGATCAAAAGTTCAAAATCATGTTTAGAGCCCAAAAGTCACCTTGCATATCATAATCATTTACAGTGTAACTTTATTGAATGAACTACTAAATACATTAATTCTGTAAGTGCTCAATAAATGTTGAAATAAGAACTGGAACACCCTGACAAACAGTTGCCTGAACTTGAAACCTTTGACATCCACTTAGAAACAATCAGCACCTCTTTCTTGTTTTTGCTTTTTTACTTAGATCCTCTCTCTCGAATCACAAAGGACGTACTTTCCAGGGTTTTTGTTTTTTATAGGAAAGTTTCCTCTAGACATTTTGTATGTGCGTGTCTCAATTTTTTGAGCTCCCTCACACACCTTTTTGGAGGCCATTAAACATCCTAATCTTGTGTCAATAAATATTTTCCTCTGGAAGCAAAAGAAAATCTTGTGGATCCATATGGATGCCTAATATTACATCCTTTTGTTTAAAGACATTTCTAGAAAGTGCCAGTTCATAAAACTAGGCAAATAACCTACTAGTAGGAAACCCCTAAGATGTGTTTGTTGTGAAATTGAAGGAGTTGATAATGAGCCAGAATCTTCCTGATAAACTTGCCCCAAATCTAAATGGAGATTAGATTCCCATTTGACCTGGCTTTGTTGCCTTTGTTTTAGTAACACTGTATTTGATATTCTCTTCCTTGAATGAATTCATTTTCCTAGTAGTTTTGGCCTACAAGAATTGCTAACTAATTGTTCCTATAAGCAGAGTAATTCTCTCTGGCTCTGCCAGGGGCTCCCTGCAGTGGTGGCCACTGCCTAGACTTCCATCATGGAAGCTTCAAGCCTGACCCCTGCAGGTAGAGAACTGAAATGCACACCTCCAACCACATCCTGGTCTTTCTTTTAAAGTCCCACCAAGTTCTGAAAATAAAAACACCGACACTAAGTACAACAAGGATACTGATGACATTGACGTAATATGTAGGGCATCCTTTCATTTTATAAGTTGTTTTTGAAATCAGCAACCACTTGATTAAAAAGAATGTAAATTACGTCCGCAAAATACTCTTATGTGGCCAGCCATTAATTCTTTTTGCTTATCAGGAAAAATTGAAATGATTTGGATAAATTGAGGTCCTCAAATCATGTAGGTTAAAAATATCTTGATTTGGCCCCATCTTTTCCTAATCAAATAAATTACTCTTTGTCCAGTGACCAAATCCCTGCCCCCCGCCCCTTCACCAATGTGCAGCCCAGGTTGCCATAGCTACCTTGGATGTCTATTTACCACCCAACGGATCAAAGCCAAGAGACATCTACATACACACTTAGCCTTAAAACTTGCTGGAATGTCTGCGGATAACATGCAACTACCAATTAGCGGATTCGCTTGCAGCCTATGTGGTCCACAGCCAGGCAAACTAGGAACACAGAGTCGCAGCGAAAGGCAAGGAAAAGCCAGTTCAAAAAATTATTTCAAAACAACCAACCAGCATCTTTAAATGGACAGCAAGTCCTACCATGCTAACATTTCCTGAAAGAGAGACAGCAGAGAAGAAATAAAAACTTTAACATGAAGACATTGAGCATTCTAAACCATGTGCAAAAACTTAAAACATCTGTTGAAAAGGGACATTTTTCAGATGCATAGTTAAAATTCCGGTTACAGTATCTTCCTATTTATGTCCTAAAACCTGCCTGATCTCAGCATTGGGACAAATGAGAACAGAAATGCCTTTTAAACTTTTAAAGGCTTGACTTTCAAATGAAGGCTACCACACCACATAGCTGTTGACACTGTGTGCTATGTCTGAGAAGAAAGAGGATGTTGAAGGAGAGGTTCTGTTTTCATCCCTTAGAGAGCTTTTTGAGAGCCTAAGCCTGCACAGGTAGTCTTTCTGGGTGGGTGAATATTCGTTCTCCAGCTTGCCTCTAACTCGCTGGCTTCTTTATACTTAACTTTTCTTTGCCTTCACCTCACCGTTTGTTCAATGAGGATCAAATTGCCCTTCATTCTGTCCTGGGGAGGTGGCAGAGAATAAATAGATCATGTTTGTAAAGGACTTTCTAATCCTCAGGAGGAAAGATGACTAAGAAGACTTTCATTATTCAGCCAGATGTCCTTGGGCATTTTAATTCCAATCTAAAGAATGCAAAATGGGCTAATCAGAGTCACAGCCTCGTGGTAATAGCAGCGTGCTAGCCTTGCAAGAATTTAGCAGCTGTGACTGAAAGTGAACTCCTCTCAGTAGATCAGAAATATAGCACCCATTTCTTCTCTTAAGAGTTTTTTCTAAACTTATTGGCGTGTTAAAAACACAAAATATGTCTGTCTGGTAGGCAATTTTGTCTGGAGAATCCACATTTTTTTTCCAGCTTGAGAATGAAGTATTTGTTCTTCTTCTGTTGGAGGGACAATGGGTGGCTCCCTATGTGGGAAGGATATTTGCAGTTGTGGGAATGCCACAGGCAAACCTGTTGTTTTTGGCTGGGCTTCTAGAACAGGTGGCCATGCCTTTCCTTTAGCCTGGGAACAGCAAATTCCTTCTCAGGAAGGTTCGGGAAAGTTTCCCATTTATGATCAGAGTGCAGAAAAAGGTTGGTACACACTTCGAAAATGACTTCCTGGTAAAGGCAAGTGAGGTTTACTGTTTGTTCTTTTTATTTCAAACCTAACTCAGTATGGCCTTACCTTCAAAGAATTCTGTCCAACACCTTTGGTGCCAACCTGGCAGAAACCCAGCCACTCTGTATCTTATAGCCAGCCAGGTAGCCTTGTAATTCTGTTAGCAATTTCTGGCTACCCAGAATTTGTGACTAGCCAGAGGCAGCGGTCTCTTCTGGGTTGCCACACCACTGTTCAGCATTTGTGCAGCCCTAGGGATGGATCACTCACCAGCAAAAAGATTGAATTTCATTGCGGAGCTGATGACACATGGGTCGGTTTTGATAGTTAACCCTGCAAATTCAGCAGGGGCTCCAGGGCTGAGCTGACAAATTGGCTGGTGGATGAGATTCACCCTGCCTCAACACAGCAGTCATGTCTCCCCCAAGAAAAACAAAGCTGGGGTTCACCCTTGTAATAATACTGCCATCTCTTTCCCCCCCCTACATTCTTGTCTTCAACTGACCAGTTGGCTTAGATGAACACTCTCTCTTCTGTCTCCTCCCCCCATCACATCCACTTTTGGAGTACCCAACAGGCAAAAAAAAAAATGTTAGCTATATAGACGTGGGATAAAAAATTGTCCACTCATTTAAAAACTAAAGAGTTGCAACATGTGTACTTGTGCCCTTAAAACTTCAATACTGGGCTCTTTTTTCCAACCTCACATGAATGCCACTGCTACTCATGGCAAAGACCATTTATCCCAAACTCAGGACAGTACGGCCTTGGGGATCAGGCAATGGAAGTGCCACCATTCCACAGGAATAGTGTGGGAAGAAGGATTCTGGAAATTGAGCTCAGACACCACCGGGGAGAGGACAGGTGGCTCTGCACAGGATCAAGTGACTTCTTTGTTCCGGCTTAGGACTTTTATCAAAAATGTTACTGCATTCCTCCTTTTCCTTTTTAATCCTTTCCAGTTAGCCTTCTCGCTCTTTTTCTCCATCCGATCTGATTGTCGGGCATTTAAAAAAAAAAAAAAACGAGGCTGGACTGTAGGTTTGCAAAACTTAAAACCGGCCTCCGCCCCCACAGTCTGGCAATTCATTGAAAGCACACGGCACTACTTGTGCTCTTCTGTACTCGCTGAAACTTGCCAGGCATGCTTGCTTAGGAGCAAGTGAGGGGGCAAGAAGGCTAAGTAAGGGTCTTTGCGCCTGACCACTCACTGGGGGCTCTGCTTCAGCTCCGGAAGCTGCAAGAAAGGGACATAAAGTTCTAAACCCCATGCCCCAACCATTAATTGGAAGGTTCACTTTCCCCAGAGTGAGCACACCGGGTGGCGCATACCCAGCCCACTTGGAAGAAAAAAGCCAAGAGCTTTTCCGGTGGCAATACAGATGCTAACTTTCCCACCCAGATTTACTCAGCTCTGACAAAAGTAGCATTGCTCCTCTGTGATCGCTGGCTTCCCCAGCTCCTGGGATGTTTTTCCAGTCTTGTTTTCCCCTTATGAGGATTGATCTTGATATTCAAATATTGACCTAAGATTCTTCCATAACTTTGAGTTGTAAATTACACCCTTTCTAGGCTTCCTAATCCACTCTTTCCTGTTCTTTTCTTTCTTAAAAGCAAAGCTATAAACCTCTGCCTGGGCTGATAAGGATTTTTATCATCATGCCCAGAGCGACGGAAGAAGCTGCTGGCTTAGAATTCTTTTCAAAGACTCATTTCGGTAATCCCCCAGCCTTTCTTCCGCTCATTACTTTCGAAGCTGTCTTCTCACATCCCCAAGCAATACAGCTCCCCAACTGCTAGGACGGAAAAAACAAATCTGCATTTTTCTGGAAGGGCGGTGTGCTGGATTTGGGCTGGTTCCGCCTTCTAAGCCATAAACTCGCTAAGTGCTCAGAATGGGAAGCCCAAACGAGATAAGCGGCCCCATTTAATTCTTTTGCAGGATAAGCAGTTGTCTTTATTCTAACCCAAAGCCTAGGGTGGAGGCTAAAAGCTCAAGATCGTTCCTGCACAATACATGGCAGAGGCCGCAAACTCGAATGGAAGCACAAATTCTACGAACCGAACCGCTCTTAGCCCTTCACAATCACTGCCTGACATCACCAACCACCAGGAGAGGCAAAAGTGGGGACGGGTGGCTGGCGAGGACCGGGATGGCGGGGGTGGGGGATGGCAGGTAGTCGGCTTCTTGGGTTGCCCTGGGGAAAATGTAGCCCCTCTTTCCGCCGACTGGATCACTTCGGACCTGCATCTGCTCACCCCGCAGGCTCCCGGGAGTAACAGGTCGCAGGGGTCCCACGCTGCGCCCTCCCTCTCCCCTGCCCTCCTCTCGGCGCCAGCGCAGCTGCCAGGCTTACCTGCCTCATGTTTAGAATTCCATGACCCATCCGGCAGGGAGCGAGCTGCGTGGAAGCGCACGCCGCAGCCTTCCGAGTGCAGACACCAAAGCCAACAGAAGCCCGCAAGACAAAAGCGACCCCGGCGCAATCCACAGGCAGCCAAGAGCACGTTTTTTCGTCCTCTTTTTCTTTGATCTGTTGCTACACGCACTCTGGCCGAGACAATGTCAAGTTTCTTAACCTTTCCTTTCCCAGCCTATGAGAAGTCGGGCGCAGGGAAGCGAGGACCGCCTGGCTCTTATTTCAAATCAGTTCTCAGGGACGTCGTAGGCGGCGGGCTCGGGCCGCCGACGAGCCTGGCCAATCAGAAGCGGGGGGTGGGCCTGGGAGCCGGGGGACACTGCCTCCGCCAGGATTAGGGACCTTTCTGGAGTCGAATGACTCGGAGCAGCTGCAAACAGGGCCCAGAGCTCCCAGAGTAAAGGATGGGTTCTATTCTTATCTAACAGCCCGGTGTCTGCTCAAAGCGCCATTAGCTTCGGGCCTTAAATCCTTGCATTTTAAGAGCTTCCTAAAAAGCACTGAAGCATTCGGAAAGTGCAGAGTTAGTTCAGCCAGAAAAAGTTCAACGCTCAGGATTCAAGATATTTTCAAAAGAGTATCTTGCGCTGGATGCCAACTTTTGCAACTGGGGGGAAGGGCACCAACTTGTTACACGTGGGTTACGTGTTAGCTGAAACAAGCAATCAAGGAAAAGGGTGTTACACACCCCATCTCCATACAAACTGTATACCCAGTCTATAAAAAAATCTTAATGGCGCTGTGCACACAAATATTTTGAAATGCAGCAAGTAAACAAGAATATCATTATTGAAGGACCGAAGGCGTAATTTCAGGTAGAAATATTCCCAGGAGAACAAGAAACACTAATTTTTTAACAAAAAATTGAAAATAAGCACATTTATCTGTCACTATGGTTCCCCTTACCTGTAAAGGTGGTCAGCTGAGCTTAGAACACCTAGTTGGATTCTTGGAAACTTCAACCCAGACTCTTCTTTCTTAACACTATAGAAACAAGAACTCTTTTCAACTCCTAGTGGACATGATTTCAATGTAAAGCTACCTCCTGGATTTCGAGAACGTGCAAACTGAGGAAAGACTACTGTGTGTGGAGCCAGTAACATACTTTTTGTCCAACAAGTAATCACAATTTTGTGAGATTAATCCAATAAATATTTTTAATTTAGAGATATTAGAGGAAAAAGTCAACTGAGCAAATAATGTGTCAGTGGCTTCAGGAGTGTCATCTGTATGATTCAATATTGTGTGAGGTTGGCCCAGTTCTATGAAAATTTGGCAACCCCATCCTTATATGCACCTGGAGGTCTATAACCCCACTTGAGGAGTTTCTGGACCTCCCTAGTGACACAATCTGACCTCAGTCCACTTCTTGTACTTTCTTCAGAGACCTTTGCTATACAGCCTAGACCAAAGTTTCTGAGTCTGGGCACGAGTGACATTTGGGGACAATAGTTCCCTGTGGTAGAGCCACTCAGAGCAGTGTGAAATGTTTAGCAGTATCCCCAGACTCTGCCCACTAGATGCTAATAGCACCTCAGCAATCTCAATAGTCAGTAATGTCTCCAGACATTACTAAAAGTAGCAAAACCAGGTTTTGAAAGATTAATTCTCAAACATGAATGGGCAGGGAAGTTTCTGGAGGAGATTGATTAAAAATGCAAATCCTCAGGCTCCTGCTTCAAGGGAATCTGATTGGGAAGGTTTGCCAAGGAGCCTGGGACTCACCATCACCATTTTATTTCACAGCCAAAGAACTCTGATTCACTTTAAGAAAGACTGCATCTATCCCTGCCCTCAGCTAAGTCCCAGCTCTAGGACAACAGGAAGCTCCCAGGCTGCTGAGTAGCTATTTATTCAATCTGAGCTTCTCACAACTGTGTGCTACCCTCACGTCAATGTCACAAGGTCAGTGTGAGCTAGGATTTCTCTCTCAAGGACAGAGCCCTTTCAAAATTTCTACCATTTCCTTCTCTTTGACCCACGCATCCTCCATCCCACAATCTCAAATGTCAACACTCACGGTTTCCCACAAAGCCCCAAGAAAAATTAATCTCTTCCCTCCTTCTATGCTCATAAAGTAGTTTATACACTTCAGTGCTGTGGACGTAAATGTTTACAAATCAGCTCTCAAAAATAAATAAATACAGAAACAAATGGCAAGATTTGTAGTACTCTCGGCCAATTTCCATGATGCAAATACTCTCTCCTTTCCCGCAGCAAGGGAAAAGCTGAACTTGCAGTTGGAAAGAGCTGCTTGCACTGAGTCAGGAGGTGAACAATTCATGGCCCATCTCGCTGTTCCACTTTGATGCCTTACTGTAATAATACATTCCTGAATCCTTCTCTCCTCCTAAACTAAACTATACAAGTCTCAAGGACAAGACTGCTGTCTTAGTCATCTCTGTAACCTCAGCGACTTTCGCCATACCTACCACTAGCAAACATTTGGGGAATGAAAACAAAACGTAATACACAGCTTCCCCTAGACATGAAGAACACTCGGATTTCTGCCACCTGCTACATTAAGGAAGGGAGAATAATGTCTTAGAAAGCAAAACTCTTGGATTACCTTTTGCCCGTAATTTAATATCTATTCTATACCTCTGACATGTACATAGATACCAAGGTATGTGACACTTTCATATAAAAAATACATTGTCTCACGAATCTATCAATGAAGTTGAGGTTCTGTGTTAGAGGCTGGCCTCTCCTCTTTCACTCTGACCTGCACATAGGTCGAATGAGAGAGTGTTAAAATGGAAGAGGGCTTATAGTTGTCACCAAAATACCAAACAGTAGCCATCACCATAGGCAGGCAAGATTATTGAGACAAAGAAAATAACTCAAGGTCTTATCTTTATAAATGGCTGTACCAAGAATCATATTAGAATTATTCTGCTTTATGACTGCTATGATCTGAATTCATATGTTGAAAACTTAATGTGCAAGGTATTAAAGAGGCGGGGCCTTGGTGATTAGGTCATAAGGGCAGAGCCCTCGTGAATGGGGTTAGCGTCAAAGATGCCTGAGGGAGTCTGTTTGCCCTTTCTGCCATGTAAGGACACAGCAACAGGCACCCTCTATGAAGCAGAGAACTGAGAGTCAGACACTGAGAGCACAGACTTGGACACAGAGCCTACTGGCACCTCCATCTCAACTTCTCAGCCTCCACAACTGAGCAATAAATGTCTGTTGTGTACAAGTTGCCCAGGCTAAGGTATTTTGTTATAGCAGCCTAAACTAAAATAGTGCTATAAAGTACCCTGTCTCCAGAAATGATTCCCAAAACCCCTAAGCAAAGTGAAACACAATTGTCTTTTTCATTTACAAATAAATATGATCTTTTAAATTTTTAAATGAAATAAATTTCTCTTTGGGGTTGTGCCTGGACTGAGGATTTGTTCTACCTATTCAAAACAGTGGAAACAAGTAAAGTGAAGCAAGGAAAGTAATTTTGATTTACCAAGGAAACTGATGTCCTGGTGCCAAGTCGGTGATTAACGACGTTTACAAATGTTAGTTCCTTTAAGAAGCAGCCTAGACGATTATCCTCGGTAGTTTTGTGGGGGGTTGGTTATAAACAGACCTCCACAGCAAACTCACAGGTGGGTGGTCAGGGTCAGGCTCTACTAAAACATGGATGGGCACTGGTATGCAATCTTGGAGGATAACTAACCAGGTATCCACCACCCCTCTCGGTGATCTGTTAGGTGGAAGCCTGTGGAATGAGAGCTTACATAAGTAAAAAATGGCTGAATAGCAGCAACCTTAAATAATTTATTACTATGTGTGTCAGGACACATCTTCAAAAGTCAGCGAGAACCAAGCTGCATTGCCTAGACAGTGTGCCCAGTACAAGAACACAGTTTTTGGGGTCTGTGAAAAGAATGTATTTATACTGTCCTGGAAGTTCCAGAAATCCATTTGCTTTATCTTTATGGGGACAGAAGAGAATTTGAGGAACACTGTGTCTGAGGTGGATCCATGAAGGTAATTTTAGTTGACAACATAAGTCCCTGCTTAGAAAATGAAAATTCTAAAGCATTCTTATAGGAAATCCCCCAAAAGAAGTAAGTTTCTGCTCACTGAGTGCAAGTACTCAGTGAAGTTAGTTTCTGTCAGTGAGTTAAGTGAAATGTTGTGACCCACAGCAAGGATGAGGCAAAGGAGACCGAAGCCCATCTGCAGTACTGACCCATGGCCTTCAGGTAAACCAACAGGCATCTCTAGGGGCCCAAGATTACTCAGGCACTTTGAATGAAACCATAAAGTGTGCCTGGGGCAAATACTCCTGCTTGTTTTTATGAATGTTTTGGATGACTAGTGCTGGAAAGGGAGGAAGAAATTCATGAATGCAGAAAGAAAACAAATGTAGACACTGAGAGAAGTAGCTTAGTATACCACGCTCTAAGGAGAGACTTTCAGGCAGGGCAGAACTGACTAAGGGGTCACTGGTCAGGGTTTTAAATAAATTGAGCATGATGTTTCCTCTTGAAAATTAAAAAAATTAAAGAAATAATGTTATTTTAATATTTTAGAGACAGAGTCTCACTATGTAGCCCAGGCTTGCCTTGAACTCAAAATCTTCATGCCTCAGCCTCCTAAATGCTGGAATTACAGGTGTGCAACCCCATACTGAGCTTTAAACTTTAGCTCTAACTTAAACTATTAATATTATAATAATATTAATATGCAATAGTGTTAATATTACAATTTTAACATGTCATAATATTCGTATTAACTTGTTATATAACTTAACTCTAACTTATAATATGCATTTAGAGGTGAACTACTTTGACTGTCTATATTTTTTTTCCCAATTTTTATTATATATTCATTTTACAGGGGGAGCGGGGGTTCATTGTAACAATTCTGAATAGACTTATGTTGTACATTGATTAGGTCGTCCTCACCATCTCCCCACCTTGACTCCCTCCCAAGCCCACTTAAAACAATTGCTGACTGTCTATATTTTATGGATTGATTAAATACAGCTGATTCTTCATCCTTTTCCTTTTAGCAAGTTGATAGATGATCTATGCTTGAATTTAGCAAGAGCTTTTTGTTCTGTTTTCGTTTGTCTTTTGAGACAGAAGGCTCACTCTGTTGCCCAGGCTTAAGTAAACTCCCGGGCTCAAGTGATTATCCCACCTCAGTCTACCAATTTCTGGGACTGCTGACATGCATCACTACACCTAGCTACAAAACTTTTTGTCTC